GGAATTTCCTAGTCAACAATACAATAGCCAACTTTTGGTCCACTTATAACGGCCTACTTTCATCTGGCTTCAAACAAATTAACTATAAATACTTATTATATTTTAGGTGTTCTTTTATTAGTTAGTTTTTTTTTCACTTATAATATAGACCATATACCAAGTATTTTCATGGAGAATGTATTTTTTTATAGAAAAGCTTCGTCTAAAGGCAGAATTTGTTTTGCTATACTGTTGTACGGATCAAGTGAATGCGTAGAATAGTTTTTATTGTATTAGTCGTCTTCTATTGATTTCTGAATTTCCCCTGTTGTAAATAACCTCGAATCTCTATGAAGGTCTACAATTTCGAGCTCAAAATATTTGGTGAACCATGGGAAAATCATTACGATGACAACATTTAGAAAACACATGTTGACTTCGGAACCGTTCTATGTTTCACTTGCACGGAAATGACCTTACCACACTTGCATGTGTATCTAGGCATGCGCTTTCGCATTTATTGGATATTATAAAAGCTGTGTGACTATTAAATAATCAAATTTAATACAATTTTATAATTTTTATCTTCCAACTAAATTTAAGGAAAAATCCGGGCCCGTTGGGAAACAGCCCCACCCTATAGTCGGGCCTGCACATATATGTATAAATATGTATACAATCGACTTGTATATATGTAAATATATATACTTATTTATCGAGAACCTTATCGAAAACCCTACCTGAAAATCGAAAACGTTACCGTTTTTGAAATCGGCACTTGCCATGATTTTTAACTTCACGTGTTCGAACACTGGAACAACCCCTAAAATAGTTTAATCGGAAATTCCATCGTTCCACACCGATTCAGTTGAATCTGGTTCAAGGACACCGCGTTATATAATAAAAGTCTTTTCATAATAATTATCAGCGATATAAATATTTCTAAGTCTTCAGAGACTTCTGGTTTGAGACTTATATTATAAAAGTCTTGTCATAATTATTATCATTGAGATAAATATTTTTAAGTCTTCAAAGTCTCTTATTTTGAGACTTACATTATAAAACTCTATTGATAATAATTATGAGTACGAAAAATTTGCTTAAGTCTTAAAGGACGGGGCCTGTTCAGGACCATTTCGGGAATAGTTCCTGCCCATGTCGGGATTACTTCAGGACTAGTTGAAGGGCTGTTCGGGACTTGTTGGAGCCAGTTTGGAAACAGTTTGGAACTTGTTGGCGAGTAGTTTGGGACTAGTTAGGGACTTGTTTTCGACTATATTATATATATAGTCCTGAACTGGTCCCAAACTAAGCCCCAAATGATCCAAAATTATTCCCTAACTAGTCCCGAATTGGACCCCAACTAGCCCCGAACTGAGCCCCAACTCATTGCAAAATGGTCCAGAACAAGCCCCGTCTTTTAAGACTTGAACATTTTTTTCACACTGATAATTATTATGAAAAACTTTTATAATATAATAGGGCTTTCGCACGAAGCGCTTTTTCAGGCAACTTTTGCGTTCAACTCACGCAGGGTTGCACGAAAAAAACATTGAATGGCTAAAAATATTAAAATATAAAAAATATAAAAATATTCGCCATGAAAAGGCGTTTGCATTGTTCAACTTTGCATTCTACTTTTGGTTGAAAGGCCTTTCAAATAATCTCTTTCAACAAAGTTGGTCGCCAGCCAACATTTAGCCATTCAAATTTTTTTTCGTGCAACTCTGTGTGAGTTGAAAGTAAAAGTTGAACGCAAAATCGCCACGTGCGAACACCTTTTAAGTCTCAAAATAAAAATCTTTGAAGACTTAAAAATATTTATCTCAATGATAATTATTATGAAAAAATAATAGTCTTAAAATAAAAGTCATTACAGACTTAAAAATATTTAGCTCTCTGATAATTATTATGAAAAGACTTTGATATTATAAGTCCTTGAATAATAATAAGTACCAGGTTCACCGAGATTTGTCCGGAGTGCATATCCTTTTCGGAGTTTTCCAGGTTTGGATATGAAATACTGGTCATTTGCATAGCTTTAAAAAAAAATATTTCTGAAAAAAAAAATTTGGATTTCGATATCAATAAGTAAATTTTTTTCTCAAAAAATTTGGTGGCAACGCTATTCCGAAATACATGGAAATGAATAGCACATATCTTGAGCGTATATGTACTGTATACAAAAAATGCTGATGGAAATTAACAAAATAAAAATTTGTATTACATATGAGCGTAGCAACCGTGATCGAAAATATTTTCTGACCAAAGTCCTCAACAATACCTTTCATTTGATATAAATATTGCGATGTTCTAGATAAATTGTGTGGAATCGAAAATAAATGGCAACCTTACACTACTACCCTAAGGGATTAATTAATAAATACCCTAGGGAAAGCATTGTTTAAGAACCTTCTTCTACTAAACAAAAAATTGAACAAATATGCGCTTCAAAATAGGTGGCAACCCTATTAAAAATATTTTTCAATTAGGGATCTTTAAAATACCTTCCATTTGATGCCCATATTATGATGTCTTAATTAATTTGTAACTAATTTCGAATAGGTGTCAACCTTATACCAGTCTTCTCGGAGATAATGCCTATCCAGATAACCTTAAAATACAAAACTTGTGTACAAAATTTCTTCAAAATCGTTAGAGCCGTTTCCGAGAACCCTATGGATATATATACAAGAATTGCTCGTTTAATGTAACAAGATAGATGACTCGAAAAATTTGTATCTTAATAAAATAATTATTGATTTTTGTTATTTTCTCTTATAATAGTTATGTCTCTGCTCAAGGGTTTGGAGGCTTTCGTTTCCAAATTTAAGTTCCTGAAATGCGAAAGGGGAAAATTAATATTAAGTGCAATTGATTAATTAAAGACATTTTTTTAAAAGTGCAGTGCAATGTTGACTAACAGTAAGGTTATTATTGAAATTTAAAATTCTGTAGAATTTAAAAAAATCAATATTTTGGTTCTCAAGGACGAAAACTTAGGTTTGAAAATGTTTATTATGAAAGGACTTTGATAATATAAGTCCTTGAATAACAAATATAGACGACTCGAAAAATTTTTATCTTAATAAAATAATTATTGATTGACTTTTATTCTTTTCTCTTATAGTTATGACTCTCTCGGGGGTTTGGAGGATTTCAATTCAAATTTTAAGATCCTGAAATGCGAAAGGGGAAAATTAATATTAAGTGCAATTGATTAATTAAATACATTTTTTTTTAGTGCAGTGCAATGTTGATTAACAGTNTGAACCAATAAATATTTTTTTTTTATAAATACATACATGCAAATACTGGTCTCCCCTCTCACTGAGTTATTCAATAGTTATTATTGAAATAGAAAATTCTATAGAATTGAAAAAATTCAATATTTTGTTTCACAAGGACGAAAACTTAGATTTGAAAATGTCCATTTAAAGGTTTATCCTTGAATATCTCTAATATTTTCCAGTAGGTATATTTGCAAAAATATGAGTAATGGACTAATATTTACACTACCTCATCCTGCAATTTCGTCCCAACCTTATTATTTTAGCATTAAAAAAGTAATAAAACGACATTTTCTATACCAATTCGTCGATGTCCACCAAATTTCATTGTTTTCAATTCTAGAGAATATTTTCTTTAATTTGACGCCATATTGTTATTCTACATTGCACCGCAGGGTGCACCATTAGGACTCCCTGTGCGGAGCACTGATGCACCTAGGGAGGCTCCGAAAAGAGACCCAAAGGAGCATATCAACGGGAGAAAAGTGCCTTTTCAATATATACGAAAAAAGTGTGCCTTTAGGACTCCTTAAAGGAGTGATTTCGGAGTTCCAGAAAGCTCCCTTAGATAATCCGCAAAGACTCCGTTCGGACTCCCCAATTCGGCTATGATTTTGTGAAAAGGACTCCTACAATCATCCGAAGATAACCTAGATGGAGTGTTTGGGAGTGCTCCGATAATAGACTGAAAAGGAGGCTTTGCCGTTTATGAAAATACTCATCATAATTATAATTACAATAATTTTCTTTTATACTCATTTCTTATTGAAAAAACACTAAATTATAGAAAGTGGTTTAACATACACTGCGTTGCATAATTATAAGACCGCCACATATTGACAAGTTTTAACTATTTATTTTTATACTATTTAATTTTAATTTATTTCTCATAAAACTATTGTTCATTCTATAACAAAAAAACATATTAATAAACATTTCAAGCTTTGTGCAAAATTTTTAAAAAACTCAGCAAATTTTTACCGAAATTTCACACTTTATAAAGAATTTTTTGAAAAATAAATGGTCAAAATTTATCATTAAGTGGCGGTTTTATATTTATGCAACTCAGTGTATTATCTTGTACTTATACAATAACAAATCAAGTAGGAAAAATAATGTAATAAAAAACTTATTTTTTTTTCTTTTTTTTTAAACACGTTCCTTTGAGTTTGGAACCATTTCGCGCTCGATCTATTAAATTCTTTTCCAGAACCAGGAAAACTCCTATTAAATTCAACTGAAAAGTTCCAATGTTAGCCAAAAATAATTTTTATGTGTTGTTTTTTACCTTTGACTGCATTCGCAACAGCCAAATTGTCAATAGCTTTTCTGGCGGTGTCCCTTTCCACGAGTATTCCGAAGCGACGTTGTCATATACCGGACACCAAATTTACCGCACACTTATTTTTTTCACTTATAAAAATTCAGTTGATTTAAAATTTTTTCAGTCTATGATATAAAAAATCTTATAGATTAGATGCAAAAAAAAATAAAAACAAGATAAAAAAACACTTGGCCACCCTTTTCAATCCATACTCGGAGCGTTCCGAAAACGCACCTTCGAGGAGTTGCTGAGGGAGTCGCTTTTTACTCCATATTAGGAGCGCTCCGCCTTTGGCTGGCTGGGTAGTTTTGCGAGTGTATTAATTTTTTCGTGTATGTATTTGTAATTTTATTATATGCACATGCGTAGATAAATTAATAATTTTTGAACAAATTTATTATTTTCAGTTTCTTTGGAACGAGACGATGTTCGAAGTGCCGAGCATCAATCAGTGCAACGGAGTTAGTAATGCGAGCTAGAAATTTAGTATTTCACGTTAACTGCTTCTCCTGTACGATTTGCAACGCACCCCTCACCAAAGGCGATCAATATGGAATTATAGATGCCCTCATATATTGCAGGTAAAATTAATCAATTGCAGATACAATTGCACACAGTAGACCTGCAAAACTACCGATGGTTGGACCATTCGATATTTTCGATAGTATTGGGCCTCACCACTCGATAGTATCGATCTATCGGTAAAAGAAAAAATATGTGATCCTCACTACTGTAATATTAGTAGAAAAAACAGGAATAATATTTTAAACGCCATTTTAGTCTGCTTTACTAAAAATAACAAAATTAATTTTTTAAACAACAAAAATCTAAATCTGGCTGATATTGGTTTTTCTTTTATTTAATGTTCATCATTTTGTATCTAACGAAAAGCATGTGTGTCCCAATTCATAAACTTTACGAAAATTAGGAGTTTTCGAGTCATCTGAATTTCGAGTTTTTTAATTAGGTATCTTAGAAACGTTTTGTGGTCGCATTTTTTTCGTCCATTAGATTTTAGTAATAAGTGCAAGTTTGAAGTAGCCAAGGTTTACTGTTGATTTTTATACCCGAGCGCACTTGTGCACAAGGGTATTATAACTTTGTTCACATAACGGTTGTTTGTAACAGGCAAAACGAATCGAGATAGATATAGACAAATGTATACATAAATGATCAGAATGAAAAGAGAAATCGATTAAGCGGTGACTGTCTGTCCGTCCGTCCGTCCGTCCGTCTGTCCGTCCGTCTGTGCACACGATAACTCGAGTAAAAATTGAGATATCTTAACGAAACTTGGTACGTGAACTTCTTTTGGGCGTGGGACGGATGGTATTGAAAATGGGCGAAATCGGATAATAACCACGCCTACCTCCCATATAACGGTAATTTTAAGAAATACGAAAACTGCGATATTTTAGTAACTACTGAAGATAATTCACTCAAAATTGATACTTACAATGAGTTTCAGACGGAAAACATGAATTTTATAAATTTTTAGAAAATGGGCGTAGCCACGCCCACTTATGGTTACATGTGTATATCTTGGTAACCGCTGCACCAATTTCTTCCAAACTTGGCACAGTTGTTGG